TAAATGAATGAATGAATGAATGAATTGGTCAACACTTTCTTATTTAAATGATTATCGATAATAACTGGCCACTTTTGTTTACGAATGAATGAATGCATGAATGAATGAATGAATGAATGAATTGGTCAATACTTTACTTAATTGATAATAACTGGCTACCTTTATTTATGAATGTGATGGCAGACTTGCTAACTTTTACCTGGTCGAGATTAGTGGCATTCGAGCCAGGGGACAAGCTGCTGAAGTTGCGATATTAATTCAGTTGAATCTTAATTAAACTTCAATTGAGATTAAGATCTTAAGATTAAATTCGGTGAAAAATCATTTCATTAAAAAAAATATTAATTGGCCTAATTAATTAATTAATAATTAGTTAATTTGATAATTAAGAATTAACGGAAGACGGGATTGGAAATTAGAATGCAACATGGATCTATTTAACGCAAGATGTATTTGGTACTTCATCGTCGTCATCATCATCATCGACATCACCGCTATCATCATCATCATCATCATCATGACCACTATCATCATCATCACCACCAACGTCATCACAACTGGCATCATCATCATCATCACACACCCAAGAAACAACAACAAAGATCGTAGAATCCAAACCACCTAGGTGGTTGATAAATGGTGATTCGATTCCCACCAACGATCCTAAATCTGGTTCCTCTATAATTGGTCGCCTCCAGAGACGGCAGACTATCGTACAGACTGCTGCCCTGGACATAAATTATTCCAAGCTAATTATTCCAAGCTAATTATTTTTATTATTTATTTATTATTTTTATGATTTTTTTCTTGTTTTTATTTCATATGCTTGTTCAGAAGCGCCCAGCAAAATCGTGGATAGTTTTTGATATCATGATACGATACGATACGATACCATATGATACGACACCGTATGGTACGATACGATACCGTATGATACGACACCGTATGATACGATACGATACCGTATGATACGACACCGTATGATACGATACGATACCGTATGATACGACACCGTATGATACGATACGATACGATACCATACCATACCGTGCGATATCATATGATATGAACCTAATAACGATCAGACAGACAAATAAATAGAAAGAAAATATTATTTCATAAACAAGAATAGAAAATAATTCTAACTGATTTCCAAGCAATATGAGATAGAATCATATTCTCAATGTCCACCAAATGCTGTCATGTTATGATTATTACCATTAAACATTATTCAATATTTGAGTATTAACGTCAATTCTATCAAAAATAAAAACAAACAAACATACCAAAGCACACACACCTAACTAATTAACTAACAAACAAACTAGCTAACTTAGCTAACAAACTAATTCAACTAATTGAATAGCTACATAACTAACTAACTAACCAACCAACCAGCCAATCAATCAATCAACCAATCGACCAACCAATCGACCAACCAACCGACCGACCAACTAACATTAGCAATATCATCTGGCATGTTTGGTTTGACCTTGACAAAGTTGTCAATGACCTTGAAAAAATCGAAACTGTTCAATGATAGTACGTTCAGTATCCATGGAAAAGAGGGTGTGTTTCGGTTTCCATTGATAGCACTCAACGGATACAAGCTTGTATCTTTTTAAATATCATTTGTATCATTTGTTTGTATGGTCGTGATGTATCTTTTGTATGCTGTACGGTTTGTATGCCTGATGCTGTAATATTTTTATGTTGTATTGTATGTGTTTTGTATCCTGTGTATTTTGTATCCTTTGTATGTTGTATGATTTGTATGTTGTATGATTTGTATGTTTGTATGAATTGTTTGTTGTCCGGTTTGTATGCACGTTGTATCGTTAGTCTGTTGCATTAAGTTGCGCGCGCGCTCACCACAGAATCACATCATCAACATCGTCTAACCAGCAGAAGAGAAATCATAATGAACGAAGAGAACGACTTGGAGTGAGCAAGCCATCAGGGAGACGTGGAAAGACTCCTGGTTCAGTAAACTCGAGAAATCACACAATGGAAACAATCTCTCCGTCTCCTGTGTTTTTTTTTCAATTTTTTGAGAAATACTTTTTAATTTATTCATTCTACACTCTTAATGTAATTAACTCGTGTTTTTATACATGTTTCACAGCTAAAAAAAAACTACGAACGGAAGTCAGTAAGGCCTCCATGACGTCATAATAAACATTCTGGGCCAGTTCGAACCTTGACCTCGCCACGTTTGCCCTCCTACCGACGTCACTGACGTAACTCATCGTGAACGACCTTGACATTCGAGCCAGACGAGCTTCGATCTGAAGTTGCGGGTTCACCGTGCATTGCTGCCACGAAGGTGAGGGTTCATTTTTTTATAAAACTTTATTCCTATTTTAATTAATTAATTGGTAATTATAACGATAATAATAAATAATAATTACAATTGATCTAAAATAATTATTCCAGATGAATCTCCAATTTATTTTATCGTACAGTAGAAAATTAATTCCTGACAGTTATTTCATCTGTGTGAAATGAAGTAGAACAACTTGATTGAACCATCATACAACAGCATCAATTCATGAACTTAAAACAAACGAACGAACACACATACGAATGAACAAACAAACAAACGAACGAACAAACAAACAAACGAACGAACAAACATACAAACACACATACAATCACACAAAGAAACAAACAGAACATACAAGGAAATGCCTAATGAGATTAGAGGTAGGATGGTCACAATTCACATTGAACGCCCTACTAAACTGGGATATTTTCTGCATGGCTGTGCTTTAAAAACATCAAGGGGAAAAAATATTTTATAAATAAATAAAACAAATAAACAAATTAATTAATAAAATTGTTAAATTAAGCTCAAAATCTATCCAACTTATAAACAAATCATATCACAATAATATGCATGACAATAATTATATATAGGTATAATTATAAATATGTAAACATGAATTATATAAAAAGCAACACAAAGTACCTAATGGGTGTGACCTTAACCTTGCTGGCTCGCACTGCTGAGCTGTGAGTTGAGTCGTTGGAAGAGGGCACAACTGGAGACTGTTGGACACTGGAAGAATGAAACAATCACCATATCTTCGCGTAATAATCACATACACACACACATATATGCACACACACACAAACACATCCATATAAACAAACAACTTCTATGTATATATATATATATATATATATATATATATATATATATATATATATATATATGCACACACACACAAACAAACAAACACGCACACAAACATACACACCCACACAAGCATGCACAAAAACATACACACAAACACACACACACAGGCACACACACATACTAACTTATCAACAGACAGGTAGTATTCTTCCTCCAGATAATCAACCTCATTTATGTCCCCCATCTTCCTGTATTCTGTTGAATACTTCTCAATCAGCTCACTCACCTTTTAGAGCAAAACTATTTGGTAGAATGCTGAAAAAAGATACATACCTACAAACACACACAGACACATACAAACACACACGTACACGTACACAAGTAAGCATAAATACATACAAACACGCTTACACGCATACACACATACACACAAACAAACAAACAAACTAACACACGTACACACATACACATACATACATACATACATACATACATACATACATACATACATACATACATACATACATACATATATACATACATACATACATACAAATAACATACAAAACTAACATTAAGGTGGGCAACATTGAGAAGCTCTTGTTCGAATCCACACCATCTATCCAGCATGTCCTAAAGATATCATTGATTTATATCATCATTCATTTATTTTAACGATAATTTACAATCTATCTTTATTTGTCTAACTGTGTATCTATATATGTGTATCTCATTTGAGTATCTATTTATCTGTCTATCCATCCACCCATCCGTCTATTCATTCAATAAGACTAACATCATTCACAGATTAACCAATTAATTAAGTAACCAATTAATTAAGTAACCAATTAACTACGTAACCAATTGATTAAGTAACCAATTAATTACCTAACAAATTAACTGAGTAATTAATTAATCAACAAATTAACTATTGCAATAAATAATTAGAAATAGTACAATGGCATGAAATGAAATGACATTGAAGCTTACGTTGTCAAAAGTAGCAGTACAGCACTTGGTGCATAGGTGCTTGTAGATGTTTATACCGGTTGATAAATCACTGAAGAGGTCTTATGGTGTATAAGTTTGCATCAATCAGCCAATTATTCAATCATTCAATCAGTCGATCAATTAACCAATCAATTAATCGACCAATCAATCAATCATTCGACCAATCAATCAATCAATTAATCGATCAATCAATAAATTATTCAATCAATTATTCAATCAATCAATCAATTATTCAATCAATTATTCAATAAACCATTAACAAATTAAACTACTAACAAATCAATCAACCAATCAATAAACCGACCAATCAATAATCCAACCAACCAATCAATCAACCAACCAACCAACAAACCAATCAATCAACCAACCAACCAATCAATCAATCAACCAATCAATCAACCAACCAATAAACCAACCAATCAACGCACTAACCAATCAATCAACCAACCAACAAACCAACCAACCGACCAGATGGAAAACCAGCTGGAATGAAATCAGAGTTCTGAATGGCGTAAGCTAGGCAGCACAGCAGCAAGTGGTATGCATCCACTAAATTATGACCGCTATCTTTTGATGATAATAACATACATAATAATAATAAATATTATTATTATTATTATTATGTTTATTATTATTATTATTTAGATTAATAGAATTTTATAATTATTTCATTATTGATATTTGGTATTTGGAGTTAGAATATAAAAGGATATTCTCTTATTAATTATTTATTATTATTATATAGATTAATAGGATTTTATAATTATTTCATTATTGATATTTGGTATTTGGAGTTAGAAAATAAAATTTATTATTTATTATTATTTATTATTATTATTATTGTTATTCAACCTTTGATGTTGATGAAGTAGAGCCAGCATGACCGATGCGTATGTTGGACTGACCTGTTTGCAAGTCGAGTTCAATTATTATTAAATTATGGCCATGGAATTCATTCATTCGTTCGTTCGTTCGTTCACTCATTCATTCATTTGAATAATTCATTCACTCATTCATTCATTCATTCATTCAAATAATTTATTCATTCACTCATTCATTCATTCATTTGCTAACAGTATTTCATTCTCGTCTTTCAGGAATACGTCTTTTATCAATCTGAAGAAAGAATAAGAAAGTGAACATTTAAAACATTTAAACATCCATCCATCTATCTATCTATCCGTCCATCTGCTTATCTATCTATCTATCCATCCATCCATCCATTCATCCATCATCCATCCATAATAAAAGAGATGAGCGGAGAAGAAAGAAAGGAGAAGAAAGCCCGGGGCATGAAATGGAAGAGATGAAACTTACTGGCATAACTTCCTGTAGAGGTTGCACGAGATTAAAAACTTCCTCTGGACGACTCGAAGATGCTGAGTGACCGCGTCCACGAACTGCAAGTTCGACTTTATCAACTCCATACACACCAGGAAATCTTTTGCTCTGTGGTGGTGGTGGTGTTGATGATGGTGTTGATGATGTTGATGTTGATTGTGGTGTTGATGATGATGGTGTTAACGTTGATGATGGTTTTGATGATGATGATGAATGAATGAATGATTGAGAAAAGAATTATCATTAACTGAATGGACAAAATAACATGAGTTAAAATAAATAGTGGACTGAATAATTTAATCAAATACTAAATGATTGATTGAATGAATGAATGAATGAATGAACGAATGAATGAATTTTAAAATGAATGAATGAATGAATGAACGAATGAATGAACAAATGAATGAATAAACAAATGATTAAATTGAAAAATAATTCAAAATCTAATAATTCAAAATAAATACTAAAAAAACCATCAAGACCTGCAGTTGTTGAAAAGGAGGAGGTCGGTAACTGAGCAGGGCATGTTATCAAAACTCATCAGCTGTGAGTCCAGGCAGCCGTACGAGAACCTGAGAATAGAAAGAAAGAATAAACGAGTAAATGGATGAAAAAAATGAGCGACTGAATAGAAGGATGAATGAAAGAACAAATGAAGTGTGATGAATGTAGAAAGAAATGAATGATGAATTAGAGATGAGTGCAAATTAATAAATGAATGGATAAATTAATGACGCATAAACACCTGCACACTCACTCACACACACACACACACACACATGTTCCCACACACACACACGCGCATACAAACACACACACACACATGTTTACACACACGCACACACATACATACACACACACACACATGTTCACACACACACATATGTTCTCACACACACACACACACATGTTCACACACATACAACACAGACTGAGACAATTATCAACCTGTTTTCGATCATGGATACGTAAACAGCACACACTATCCAGTCATGGACATTTCCATCCTTGTTTATAGCGAGAATGAAAAAATATTAATACAAAAAATTGCAATAAATTTTTTTTTAATTATTGAATAAAATTATTTATGAACAAAAAAATAACTAAAAAATTAATGAAGACCAAAAACTACAATTAATAAATTTACATGACATTCAAACAATATTTTTTTTAATTTATTTATAAAATTAAATTAAAAGAAAAAAATCATTAAAAAAAATATTACTCCAACAAAATGTTAATTAAATCAATCAAGAAAAAAGGAATGAACCACCAACAGTTGCAGCAAACAGTCCTTTGTTAAAAAATTCATCATAGAGTTGCTTGGCCGACTCGCTGATGTGTTCAATGGAAAAGTTAACACACGTATCCTGAATTAGCTGCCTGGCAGTGTCCTTCGTATTTGAACAGTGCATGATTCCTCAGACGCTGACCTCACTCACTCAGGTGTGGAATTCTGGGTATGAATTGGGTAAATTAATTACTACTATTTACACGGATTTTTATACTAGTCTAATTTATACTGCACTTTAATATATTGAACAAAATAAAATAAATAAAAAATTATTCTGATAAAAATATAAAATAAGATGGCAAATGGCTCATTCGAATGTGGATAAGGAAAAAAAACAAAATAATTTTCAAAAATTGAATAAACTGTTTTTACAACACAAAACAACGAACCAATCTCACCTAATTAAAACTAATTTTCAGTTAAAATTCCCTTTAAAAGCCGAAGTAATGTTTTGACCTAAAACGGTTTTTCTGAGAATTTAATAAATGATTAAATGTAAACGAAGTGCGCGGGAAAGGTTTCTACAATTTATGATGCTCAAAACAACTGCAAAAAATTTTATTAAATATTTTTTTAAATCAAATTTAATTTTACTGTAAAAAAAAAAATTTCAAATAAATATTAAATGATTTTGAATAAAATTTTTTAATTTTTTCTAACACTTGAAAGTTTAAACAGTTCATCAAAGGTCAGCAGAGATTTAAATGTTTAAAAGTGAAGGACGTACGAGACCAAACCACGAAACTGTATGAAATGTTGCCACATTTATATGACATACATGCCTAATTACATTTTCCATACAATTATTCACTAACATGCACACAAACACACACGTACATACATTTTACGTAAAATAAAACTTGTATATATATGACATACATAATATATGCACGCTTACATTTTTATACTTCATATGATGCTATACTAGATACTACCAATACTAAAACGTGTCTTCTATACTATGCTAAAACTATACCATATTATAGTATAATAAACTATACTTTATGCTATCTATAATATAATACTATACTACCTAGCAACTACCTAACTAAGTGTAGAGTGTGATATATCTTCTATCTATATTAAAATTAATAATACTTACTTAGTATGTGTGTGATGTACCTCTTCTCAACTCGCTTAACCTTGGTTTGGTTGGTGTTTGCACTTTTGCATTGGTAACCCCATCAAGCAAAACTAACCGTGTTGTAGATTCTGGCGCTGCTGATTATCACTTTATTTATTTATTTTAATATTTTTCTATTGCTGTGCAATCGGCTATCAATTAAATTTCGTTTTATTAGTTTTTTCCACTAATCCAACTGCTAAAATAAAAATTTAATCTGCTGCCAAACGTTTATTATTTATTTCAATCTTTCTTTGACTTGATTGATTTCATTTGGATATTTTAAAAATTTGTTATTTCAACAAAGAATTAAAAAAAAGCTTGGTTTTAGTTTTTAAGTTTTTAATTTAATTATTACATTTATTAATCCACAAAGGCAAGCACAAGGTTAGTTGAAGTATGATAGCAATGTTTTTTATTGATGATTTATTTACACATCAGACAAGTTACATTACTATGCATTTCATCATTCATGTCCATGTTCATGTAGTTGTAGCATTGTATACATTTAGAATTAAAAGTGGTTAGAGTCTAATTTAAAAAGTCTAACCATTAGACTTTTTAAATTTTATTATAATTGCATTGTGCAATGATGGTTTTTCATTTCAGATTTCTGTTTCCGGTTCCACCAAGCCCCACTCAACTAACTAAACTAAAACAAAATATCACCACTATTAAATTTTAAAATGTCACTAATTCGATCAAGAAGGGGTTCTTTTGTTAGAACCTTGAAAGATCTGGATCCAGACCTCGAGGACCTGTTCTATGATGGTGGTCTCCGAGCATCGAAACGTAATCAGTGGTTCTTTGAGGTGGCATGGGAAGTTGCCAACAAAGGTGGAGTGTGACTAATTTTTCTATTTATTGTATTGTCAATCAATTAATATTTAATTAATTATTCTGTTGCTTTTTTTTATTTGGTGTGTCATTTTTTTAATGGATAGCTCCAAAAAATTTGAATTTTTATTGAATTTTTGAATAATTAATTATTCTGTTGCTTTTTTTTATTTGGTGTGTCATTTTTTTAATGGATAGCTCCAAAAAATTTGAATTTTATTTTGTAAGGGAAAGGAATTTCAATTCAGAATAGATAGTAAGTAGATAGTCATTGCACAAGAAGAAACAAGCAGAGCAACACAAATAGTATTAATATTAGTAGTAGTAGCAGTAGTAGCAGTAGTAGTAGTAGTAGTAATAAAATGGTAGTGGCATTTTAAAGACATCCTATCCCGCCTTGCTTCTGTTGCTTTGACTTGGTTTAAGTTTCAAGAGATCTATCATCATATACAATGTGTGTGTGCGTGCGTGTGTGTGCGTGCGTATGTGTGCGTGGGTGTGATTCACGCACATTGCAAGGGAAAGTAATTTAGATTGGATGGTAAATAGATATAATTGTAATAATTATAATTATTATTATTATAAAATAATAAATACCCGAAATATAATTTTTTTTCCAAGTTGGAGGAATACATACAGTGATCAGGACGAAAGCAGCAGTGACAGTTGACGAACTGGGAGATCAGTATTATATGATTGGTAGGCTTTCTTTTATCATCTTTGTTGCTATTACTATTATTATAATTTTTTATTTTTATTACTTTTGTTGTTATTATTTTCACAATAATAATTTCTAATGATAGGACCATATGTAGAGCAGTTTGTGAGGATGGAAGTTGAAGTGTGTGAGCCGACTCACAATGATGCAATGATGAAGGCACTCCAACATATGAGGCAACATGGAATGAAAGTCTGTATGTGTGCGTGTGTGTCTGTGTTGTATGTGTGCGTGTGTGTCTGTGTTGTATGTGTGCGTGTGTGTCTGTGTTGTATGTGTGCGTGTGTGTCTGTGTTGTATGTGTGCGTGTGTGTCTGTGTTGTTTGTGGGTGTGTATTTATTTCTGTATGGATGTGTTTATGTGTCCTTGTGTTTGTATGTTTCTTTAAAAGTACATACAATGATGAAATAATGAAGACCTTACATCATATGAGGCATTGTGGAATGAAATTTTGTATATCTCTATGTTTGTGTATGAGCGTGTTTGTGTGTTTGTGAATGTCTTATCACTGCATTGTATTCTATTTTTATTCACTTTGTTATTAATACTTTTTCAATTTTTTCTCCATATTATATTTAAACTGCAGTTATATATTCAGTTATTGTCAACATTGGCATCATAAATGCCAATGTGATATATAATTGTCAGTGAATAACTTTAAATAATTGAATGGATTGTTTTGCATAGACGCTACTTAATTTGGAATTATATGTATTTGTGTGTGCGTGTGCGTGCGAGTTTGTTTGTTTGAGTGTATGTGTGCGCGTGTGTAATCACTGTTTTATTTAACTTCGGTTAGGATGAATCAAGGTTGATGTTCATGTTAACATGGCTCATTTTTAGTGTGGTGTTACATTGTTCGCTTAGTTATGTGTGTGTTTGTATGTGTGCGTATGTCTGTGTGTGTTTCCGTCTAGATATGTAGGCATGTATGCCTCCGTGTTTTTGTTGTGTCTCATAAGTCTGTAAATAATGGAGACACACGGACACACACACACTCACACACACACACAGGCAGACAAACACATGCACGCACGCACTTAAAAAGTTATCTTAAAAATCATAAACGATAAGGATGCAATGCAAAGGTTCATTTAAGTTTGCGGTGAAATCACCTCATTGAAATCACCTCATTAAAATACTTTTTATCATAACAGGCAAACATATTTTGTGTGCGTGCGTGCGTGCTTGCGTGTGTGCGTGCGTGCGTGTGTGTGTGTGTGTGTGCACGTAAAACACTGGTAATCCATACCAAAATAGGTCAATCATTTAAAAATTATAATTATAAGTTTACATTTTCTTTTCTAGAAACAAAAAAAATTTGTTCGAATGTTAACAAACCAACTATGTTTATGGAGGAAATAATTCAAGTTGAACGTTTCCAGGTGGTGTTTGGGAGGTGGTTGATAGAGGGCACTCCGAACGTTATCCTGTTCGACATTGGGTCGGGAGCCTGCAAACTCAACGAATGGAAGAATGAACTCTGGGAAAGTTCGCATTTGGGTCAGTTAGGGTCAGGCTTCAAGCAAGATGTTATGCGATTTAATTGGTTTTATTTGTTTGTTTTGGCAAATTATTTTTCCTTACTTCTTCACCTTCATCTTCTTCTTCATTCTCATCATCATTTTCATCCTCATCATCTCTATCACTTTCATCATCTTCTTCATCTTCATCCCCATCACCTCAACGCAAGGCATCCCATGGGAGGATAAGGAATCAAACGACGCCGTTGTATTCGGATATTTAACTGTTTGGTTCCTTTCAAAGGTTCCCCTCTTATGAAATTTTACATTACAATTTTTTTTATTCTTCACAGGTTTTTTTTTCTCAAGTTTGTTTCAGCTTGAACATGATACACGAAATAATATTAATGATAATGATAACCATCTTGCCACTGAATTAATATTGTTATGTTTACATTAATAATAATAATAATAATATAATTATAATATAATAATTATAATTATTATGATTTATGCAGTTCAAAGAGAACATGTCGCCAGAGCCCTGCATAGTTGCCCACTTTCACGAGTGGATATCGGGTGTCGGGCTGTTCACCTGCCACACTCGACGTCTGGGTATCTCGACTATCTTCACCACCCACGCCACACTGCTCGGTCGCTATCTCAGTGCTGGCTCGTGTGATCTCTACAACAATCTTCATACGGTTGGTTGGTCGGTCGGTCGAGTGGGTGGGTGGGTGGTTGGTTGGTGCCACTGCCCGCTCGGTCGGTTGGTCAACTGCAGATCATCTATCGTAATCATCTATTCATCCAATCAGTTGCAAATCCAATTATCCAGTCTTTCGTTTATCACATCAACACATTCAATCACTCGACCAACCAACCAATCGACAGTTTTCTTTGGACAAAGAGGCAGGCAACCGAGGCATCTACCACAGGTACTGCATCGAAAGGGCAGCCGCACACTGCGCCGACGTCTTCACCACCGTTTCTGAGATCACCGGTCTGGAGGCTGAGCATCTTCTTAAGAGGAAAGCAGGTCATGATGATAGTGTTGTTGTTGATGATGATGATGATGGTGGTGGTGGTGGTTATGATGATGATGAAGATGATGAGGATGATGATGATGATAGTGTTGTTGTTGATGGTGATGATGATGATGATGATGATGATGATGATAGTGTTGTTGTTGATGGTGATGATGATGATGGCAATGATGATGATGATAATGGCAACGCACAGTGATTTAGGTATTATCTATCGATCCTATTGTTCTATCTTCTTCTCTTAACCGCTTGTTTGAATGGACAAGTATCTCGACTGGAAAGATATAAAATAAAAAATCGCTAACACCAGGGTCGCCATGGTTTCCATTGTTGATAGTTTTGTTGTGTTGATAGTCTTTATAATGGTTGTGGTAGAGATGGTGTTGTAGTTGTTGTTTGGTTCTGGTTTTGTGGCGGCCAGTCACTTTTCTTGTAAATCTCACAACACCCATCTAACTCTCACTTTTCCTCCAGATCTCACAACATCCATCTAACTCTCACTTTTCCTCCAGATCTCACAACATCCATCTAACTCTCACTTTTCCTCCAGATCTCATCCTCCCGAATGGGCTGAACGTGCAAAAGTTTGCAGCCCTGCACGAGTTTCAGAACAAGCATGCACTGGCCAAGGAGAAAATCAACGACTTCATCAGAGGACATTTCTACGGGTTGGACTCTCCCGAATTTATTTTTAAATTTTTGTTTGTTTATTTATTTATTCACAAAATTATATTGTCTTTGTTTATTTATTTATACATTTTAAAGTTGATTTTATTTGTTCGTTTTTTTTCCTTCAACTCATCCATTATTTTCCAATTCGTGCCCCACCCAACCCAATCCCTCTAGCCATTACGATTTTGATCTTGACAAGACCTTGTACTTCTTCATCGCTGGTCGCTACGAGTTTTCGAACAAGGGTGCTGACGTCTTCATTGAGGCACTGGCCAGACTCAACTACATGCTTAAGGTTGGTACAATGCCGGCCACTTCATCAAACCATCACTTCCTCATCATCCCACCATCATCCTAATTCACCACGTCATCATCCTAATTCACCACGTCATCATCCTAATTCACCACGTCATCATCCTAATTCACCACGTCATCATCCTAATTCACCACGTCATCATCCTAATTCACCACGTCATCATCCTAATTCACCACGTCATCATCCTAATTCACCACGTCATCATCCTAATTCACCACGTCTTCACCCCATCATCCCATCATCATTGCATCCTAATTCACCACTCACCAAACCATCACCACGCCATCATCCCACCATCACTGCCACATCTCATTCTTTATTCATTTATATGTTAGTGCCAGCCATCATTGTAGATATCTTTCAATCACAAGAATTTAGTGTCTGATAGAGTTTTGTCTGCCTTTTTTTGAATGAGTGAACATAGTTACATTTTATATTTCTGCAAACGTAAAGTCTATGTATCAAAACATACAGATCTATGTGATACAATCAACAAAACATAAAATCTACAGTGATACAATCAGCAAAACATACAAACTTGAGTGATACAATCAACAAAACA